TGCCCAAAATGGAATGGTAGGGTATGGCAGTGTTTGAGGATTTGGGTACTAGAAAATGATGGGTTCTACGTCTTTACAGTGTATGAAGAGCGAAGATATACAAGCTCAGGCTCAGGTCTGATTGTCATCTGACAAACAGCTTTAGTGAAATCAGGGCACCACTATGGCACGATTTCCATGGGCCGTCTGGCATGATACAGTATCTGTCACTGCCATTCACTGCCCATCCTGATCATCCTCAGCCCAAACAAAGCAAGGTGGCACCGCTAGAAAGCAGGATCAAAGCAGGATCCGCTAAAGAATGCATTCACTAGAAAATGCCGAGCGCAGGTTCAAAAAGAAGACGCGCCGATCACAGGTCCGAGAGGTGTGATCAAAAGGTGGGGTCATTTCCTAGTGATTCACTAGATTATGCTGATCCAGGTTCATGAAGCTGTGTTCCTCATTTTCTAGGGAGCTGACATTCATCATTCCCCAGGAAATCGCTAAAGAATGGGGATGTGTGACCCTTCCATGTGATTAACATGGGGGATAATATATATATATATACATACTCGTGCAGGCCTTTGTAAAAGAACCACGTTGCTTTGGCCGCCCTTAAATATATGGTATGGTATGGTAATGTAATGTAATGTAATGTCACGTAAGGTGACGTTCGTAACGTTAGTGTGTTTGTATGTGTATGTGTAATGTGCAATGTGTATGTACGTACTGATGTGTAATGTAACTATATAATGTAATGCAATTTGCATGTATAGGTATATGTAAAGGTATATGCATATATAGGTATATATGCACTTGTTGCAAAGTCTTAGTATTAGTAAAGATTCAATAGGTTTCCAGGAAACTTGACATAACTTTCACAACTTCAATTAAACTTGCAGCTCCAGCAAATTGCCTGCCACAAATGGAAACGTCCACAGAGATCTTGGAATCCCTATTGTAATCCTCATGAAAAGAAACCATCCAAATTCCACATCCGCCAGACACTCCGGAAAAGCAGCTGATTCACCGGTGGATTTGGGCCGAATCCCACACACTACCGTAGATTCTACTGTATCAATGCTTTGGCGGTTCGCCCCGGCGCGCCGAAAGCTGAAAGCCGTCAGGACCTCGCCAGTCGAAGCTACGCGGCGGAGGGCGGCCCTCGTGCCTGGTCCGGGCTACTGGCCTTGCTCTTCGCAGCGCCACAGATGCGCTGGCGCCCGGCGGAGACGGCGCTGCTGCGGAGCAGCACGGTGTGTGTGCAGGTGGGGCGCTGGGAACGTGCGAGGCTTGGACGAAAGAAGGACGTGTGAGCCTTGGGACATCTGGGGACCCGGATTTACTAGGGTTCTTGAGAGAGTTCCGGGTTTAAGACCAAGATCAGGATATATAGGTCTTTTGTCCGTCCAAAGAACGATTGGAACGCTCAGGATTGGCCTTCTACAGCGCTTTTGGACCTGGACTACTCAGGCAGTGCTCGATCTGGTTACCCAGCAGCAGGCGGAAGCATCCTTGTGGCAGGAGGTGCGCCAACCATGTCGTTCGATAGATTTCATGTATATATATATATATATGCAAAAGCTTGCTCCAACAAAAATTTTGGTTTGGTGGAAACTGCTGCAAAGTCATAGGCCATAGGCTCGTAGAGAATGAGGGAACGTGGAATGATCTATTTGTTTTGAATTCGCAACTGCTTTGTGGAACCTTTCCGGCCAGGCATCCCGTAAGTTGACGACCTGCAGGGATCGGCAGGGTATTTGTACAGTTTTGGGAGTAGTAGACAAACACCTGGCATACGGTTAAGGGAGCAGATAAAGATAAGTCGTCACCTTTCCAATCGCTAAATGCCAGATGGATTTAAACTGGTTTGCATATTCAACCGGGTGAGCCGCATAGGGGACTACCAGCCTCTTGCTTAGGTTTTATTTAGTTGTTGTTTTTTGATCGACTGGCGACCTACTGTAAAGGTAGCTGAATTCATTTGGAACAGTACGGGATTGTCATTACGCACAGTGTATGAGATACAGTGCAGTGTTCATGAGACCTGCGACAGGCGATATTGTTACTCGGCTCTCTTCAAAATCGAGGTCTACAGAGTCTTGGACAGGACTTCCAGGTCGCTTGTGTTCTTGGAAGTCAGTTGGATGTCAGGGGCTTCAGCTGGACAGGTGATGGAATTGAATCTGGTAGGCATGCATTGGTCAGGTCCAAAACAGTGATCCAGAGTGCAAAACAAGAATCGCAGACATTTTGTTGGTGGTATGAACTACAGTGATGCCGAAAAGCCACGGTCAAACGATGGGGACCTGGTGGGAAATTTGTCTCCAAATTATGCATCCAAGTGATAGACGAGATGAATCTTGCGTCCGGTCTCTGGACCGCAGGGGAAGACTGTTGGATGTTCTGACTGAGGGATGTCATGTCCTGACTGTCACAAGGACGAAGCACAGAAAGAGGGGACGACCAACGGACAAAGCACCAATTTGTTTTCTTTGAGGTCGGACCCCAACATATATATATATATATTATATAAGATATAGTTATATATAGTATACATAAATTAATAACCTGATCATATCATATAGTTGGGGCATGCATGTCTTTGACAAGGCTCAACTGGTCTTATGTAGGCGCAAGGAAGATTGGTGACGGGGGCCTGACTCACATGAGTAAGGATTCAAAGAAGACACCAGGCAGCTACCTGTTTGACATCTTGTGTGGTGTTCCATGTTTGCTGGAGACTCTGAGTCGCGGTCCAGTTTTTGTTTTTTTGGTCGCGCGCCACTAAGACGACAGTGTTTGGGCACCCCAACCGCCAACCGCCAACAAACACCTTTTGGTCCGGCTTGGGGAATCCGGCGTCTCATGATGTCTCATCGACAGCACGTCTCATGGAGTGACTCAGTCGTCTCGTGTTTTTCCGGGTGGTAGGATGGGATGTCCATGTCTGTGAATTATTGGGGTGAGCTCAACACAGGCAACACAGATCCTTCTTACAGCTTTTCAACTACAGTATATCACCTGTTCAGATATGATGAACATGCTGCAATGCCTGCCGTTTTGCTCCATCTTCTACGATGCTCACTCCCAACAGATGGTCTTTGCAGCTCAAGTACGTCCTTGGTCGGAGACCTGAAATTCAATCCTCTGCGCTAAGGACACCGAAGCACAAGACGTACAGCTCCTGGTTCTTGGGCGCGTATGGGCGTGCAGGCCATTGGCCTGTAAGCCTGGAAGTCTTCAAGGCGAGCAGTCCACCCAAGGCGCAAGAGCTTCTGACGCTCGGCCGTTCGGTTCGGCACGGCAGTCTGGCTGCCGAAGGTCGTGGTCTGGCTGTCTGGCTCGGGTGGTCAGCCGAAGGGGTCCTTTTTCTTCCACACATGGCCGTGTGAGGTCACCGGAAGCGTCCGAAGTGTCAGCGATCGTTTCTCTTCTTCCACACAAGCAACCACCCCAACCACCCCAACGGCTACATCCCCAAACTGCGGCCCTTTTCGCTCCACTGGCGCCGCAACGCCTCTTTCGCAGCAAGGAACCAAGTATCCTATGAGTTGCAACGGGGCCAATCCTGGCGCGCCTTGGGCGAGTGAAACACGAGGGAACAATGTGTGAGGATGGAGACAGGCTGAAGGAGATTCACTGAGAGGCATATGGCTATGCTGAGCTCAGGTTCTTCCCAAAAAGCCACCCGTTCACGACGCTCCGGTCCGGAAGGCCCGCAAAACACCCAGCTGGGGCCAGGCCAGGCCTCTTTGGAATCCGCACGAACCGAAGCCAGCATGTGAAGCATGTGAAGCTGATCCACCCCGGGTCATGTGCCTGTATGGAACCTGGAACACAGGCACTTCACCTAGTGAGAAGTCAGACGTCAGAGATGCCTCTTCCCTCCACCAGAAATCTCGTTCAACCATCGTTTGACGGCCTGTTCCGTTAAACCTTTAAGAGTCCTTGCTCCGACTGGCTCCCCCATACCTCATGAAACAGTTTCCAGAGAACTCCATGGTCTTTCTGAGGTGATGCTGTACAGCTCCTGGCAAACGCCGCCAAACGCTCCGTGCGGACCTTCGTGCTTGCAGCCGAGTACCGTGGCGGTGGACAGGTCATCGACGACGGTGGTGCAGGTGTGATGGATGTGGCGTTCGGGCCCTTGTGTCGAATGAAGGATCTTTTGGAGGGGAGTTGAAAGAAGGTACAGTAACAAGGAGCGGAGCTTGGCGACGTTGACGGAATCCGAACGAGTTTGATTCACCATTGGAGAAACGCCAAAAACCATCAAAACCCTCCCCGTTCATGTTTCGTGGTGGGATGGTCATTTATTTGCGTAAGCCAGAACTTGGTGTGCATGAGGTGGCGCAAGCAAGTCCAAGCTTCAACAGACATGTCACGTTTGCAGAAAGCAGATCACACGTAACCTCTGGCTGTGGTCTGGTGGAAAAGAATGTTTGGCGATGTTTGGCGTATATAAGTTTTGCGAAAGCCAAGGCATGCAACAACTGTGCGTGTAAGCTGCCATTGTGGTTTCGTAAGCGACGCGTAATGTGTGGCTTAAGAAAGTTGTAGCACAGCTCATTTGTTGCTTAATGTCCATCACTTCACTTTGCTGGCACAAACATCGCAGAGTGACAGTTGTTGGAAGACACGTGAATCCTCCTCTTTTGGTGTGTTCCATCCTTTGCAGAAACGACCTGTCGCATCCTGTCGCCCACACGAGATGACGAGGAAAGTCATCACGACCTGTCGACGCTCGAGCATGTGGCCAGCAGCACTGGCGGTCTTTGGAGCCTTTCTCAGTGAGGGAGCATCGCCGCGGCACCAGACGCGCGGCACGTCGGGTGGTCGGGTGGTCGGGTGGTGGTGAAGACGGGGGGGGTGTGAGTGGAAGGACGGAAAACTGGTGAAGAATTGGACAAAGAGGGCAGATGGATGCAGATGGATGTGCATTCAGGAACATGTTGAAATGAGCTATTCACATGGATGACAGCATGAAGCAGCTTAGATTGACTTGAAGGACTTGAAGTGACTCGCAGGCACTCACATGCTTGACCACTTGCAAACCGCTTCTTCAGACTTTTGGAAGTAGACCTCGATTTATCTGGTCTTATGATCCATCAGGATGCTATTCGGTGGAATTAGATTGAGGCTGTCGCTACTAGGTTGGAGGCCATTGCTACTAGGGTGGAGGCCATCGC